CGACGCACCGCAGGTCTGTAAGCCCCTTCACTCCCTCCTTCTGACGTTTTCCTAAGGGTATGCATGTGGCAGTGGGCTCTTGGGGTTTTTGTCTGTTCTGCTGCAGTTAGTGCCTATCGCTGTTTCCGCAGGCGCGGGTAATAACTCCGCCCCGTTTTAGGCATCAGGCGTTGCGAACCGGCACTTGCTGCCTCATGAGCTGTCACAGATGTCGGCTCAGCTGGGAGGTGGTTGTTGTTCAACTTATGCTGCATAAAAACTTAGAGGACTTGTCCTCTTAGAGGTCTTCTTCTACGTTCTGCTTTTTTAAATTTTCCTCTCAGCGCAGTAAGGTAGCGACAGCACTTCTTTGTTCAATTGCTCACGTTTGTCTGCAAACCTTGTGTTGTGTGAAATAATATGGGTTACTAACGGTGAAGGTGGATACTTAGATCTTATAAAGAGATCTGCTAATTCCACATGGTGGAGTTGGCAATGTGATTGACGCTCAGTAATGAGATTTTTCCCTCCTGATCATTCTTTACCGTGTAGGTGCACTGCGACCTGTTTGTTTGTTATTTTGGAATGTTAAGGAAACTTGCTAGAGGAATGCGGAGTATTTCTTCCCTAAGGAAAATACCTACTTCCACCCTGTGCCGTCCCATTTTTTGGTGTAAGTGGGCTACAGAAAAGGCAAGCTGTAGTGAAATCATTTTATTTTAACAGAGCTTTATTTCTTTTTTTTTTTTTTTTCTGTTTCTGCGATTATTTCTCATTCAGAATTTGGTGGTTTATTTACCGTTCCTCAGCTGGTTTTCTACACATTAATTGTGATCTAAGAAATGCTTGATAGCATCTCTCGCTAAGGCTGTGATCAGTTATGGAGCACTAAACTGTATACAAAAGCACAGCGTTACATTTAGGGTGTAATGAAAAAATTGGGAAGTACTNCACTTCTCATCAGCTATCCGATGTGTTATTCTGTCACGTGTAGATTCATCGGGGATGTTCTTGCCGTTCAACTTCTGCTGCGTAATGTGGGGCAACAGAGGTGAAGCTCCGATTGATATTGTGCCTATCTTCATTTTCCACTCAGAACAGAAAGTTTCAGATTCAGATGAAAACGTGTCTGACAACATAACTTGCACGAAATATTATGGTTTATTAACGGAGAAGGGCGAATATGTAGAATGACTTTCCCTAATTCTACAAGACTAGCTCAGGAAAATAGGATTGACGTTTTTCCTTCAGTATCTCGTTTTCCCGAAGTGATGTATTTTCAACTTTGTGGCAGCCTAACAAAACCCCATTGGTTAATGCTGTTTCAGTGTTGGACTACCAAACGAAAGTGTGTGTGCCTCGATGATAGGGGACGTTAGATATTTTTCCTCCCTACTGCATTTTCCTCCTCTCTGCCGTGTCCTCTCCCATCCTTTGTTGAAGGCATCTGCAGAAATGGAAGCGTTAGTGGGCTTGATAATTCTTTTTTTTTTTGACCTTGACTTCCTTAATCTCTTTGTGCAGTTATTTCTCATTTTGGGCTTCAACCTGAGTGGTAGTTGGCTCTTGTTTACCGTCCCTGTAGAACTGCCTGTTCTACATAGGTGTACGATGCGATCTAAAGAAGAAAATCACATGGCTCTGGTGGGTTTTTGTTTGTTTGCTTGAGGAGGTTGAACGTTTTTTGTTGCTGTTTTTCTCAATCGGTCTTTTATTTCTAATCATTTCCTCTTAGAAATGATGTATTTTCCTACTTGATAGCGTTTAATGACAAGGGTGTTCTAAGTGCTAGTTGTTTTATTTTTATTATGGACCCCCGATGTGCATGTGGATGAGCACCGCTGCAGGGTGCTGAGTTACTCTCGAACTATGTCCAAAGTCCAAGCACAGCCTCTACTGCGTAAGTCTTCAAGGAAAAATTCGGCGTAGTGTTTGGAAAAGGGCGACTTATACAGGTTTGATTCAGTCCAAACTGATTCAGATCAGTCTCTTATGTGGAGGTGAAAGTTAAAAGACCAGAGCTAAGATCTCTAAGGAGATTGGGTGGGTCATCATCGCTTTTTGTATTATTATGGGTCGGGTTCTATGCTGGCAGCGTTCCAGTGAGGGTCTATTAGTCGTCAGAAAGGGGGAGATGATGTTCTGTCCCTGTATTGCAGGATGTGAGGACTGCTCATTCGGACTGTTCATGGGGGTATTTTAGTCCCCAAGCCCATGACTTTGGTTTGATCTGCATTCAATCTACGCTGTGCAATGGGGTGGGGAGTCTGTGCTTTCGAGATTAACGCAAAATGCTGATAACACTTTGCACGTCATATCAGGAGCAATTTCTATAATATCACAATAAAAATTTCCCGTGCGATTAGAAATACAACGACGAGGGCAGGCGTGTTAATTCTAATTGATCGTGTTGAGCTGGAGGATCAAAGCAGAGGCCGGATGGAGCAATTCCGAGGAAGGAGGTGCACTGCCGAAGGGAACACACATCTCCGTGGCAGTGCGGGCATGTCTCGTTGGCGCTCGGTGCGTGCAGTGCCGGGAGGAGGCTGCGGGCGCCGCTGTTGCCCGAGAGGAGCGAGAGGAAGGTCGGAGCGCTGCAGCCCCGCCCGCTGCGGCCCGGCTCGATCGCTGGATCGCTGGATTCCTGGGTCGGCAGCCGGATTGCGGTCTGCGATTGTGCCTGCGGAGCTGATCCCTGCTGAAGAAGGCGGTGGGTCTGGCGGCAGCGGCTGGGAGCGGCAAGTCGTTGCCAGAGCGGGAGAAGAATCGGCGATCGGCGGCGGGGATCTGCCGGCGGTGTTGCGGTGCCGGCGGTGCGGCGGCGGAGATGTGCGCGGCGGGGAGGCGCTGGGGCCGGCGGCAGCGAGTGCTGCTGTGGGGCGTCCTGCTGGCGGCCTGGGAGGCGGCGTGGGGGCAGCTGCGCTACTCGGTGCCCGAGGAGATGCCCAAGGGCTCGTTCGTGGGCGACGTGGCCAAAGACCTGGGGCTGCAGATGCCGGAGCTCCGAGAGAGCGGTGTCCGCGTTGTCACTGAAGGTAGGAGGCAGTATTTTGCTCTGCACGGCAAGACAGGACATTTAGTGACGGCCGAGAGGATCGACAGAGAGCAGCTTTGCCGGCTGGTGGAGCAATGCGTGCTGCGCTGTGAGCTGATAGTGGAGGGGGAAATGAAGGTTTATGAAATCGAAGTAGAAATCACGGACATTAACGACAATGCGCCCAACTTCAAAGAAATCGAATTGGAGGAGAGGATAAGCGAGATGACAGTCCCAGGATCGCGGTTTCCCCTCCCAGACGCTCACGACTTGGACTCTGGACAGAATTCCCTGCAGAGCTACGATCTGAGCGGCGACGAGCACTTCTCGCTGGCCGTGCAGACGGGCCCCGGCGGGGATCAGCGTCCCGAGCTGGTGCTGGCGAAGGCGCTGGACCGGGAGGAGGCGGCGTTTCACGAGCTGGTGCTGAGGGCGAGCGACGGCGGCGAGCCGTCCCGGACGGGCACGGCGCGGATCCGCGTGACGGTGCTGGACGCGAACGACAACGCGCCCGTGTTCAGCCAGGCGGAGTACACGGTGCGTGTGCCGGAGGACGTGCCCGTGGGCTCCACCCTCGTCACTGTCACGGCCACCGACGCCGACGAGGGTCACTACGGCAGTGTGAAATATTCTATGAAAAAAGCGACCGATATGTCATCGGATATTTTCCATCTGGACTCCGAGACAGGAGCGATCACCCTCGTGCAGAGCCTGGACTTTGAGGAAGGTGACTACTACGAACTCGAGCTGCAGGCACGTGATGGGGGTGGTCTTTTTGATACAGCAAAGGTCGCGCTCACCGTTACAGACGTCAACGATAATGGGCCCGAGATTTCGGTGCGGTCGGCGCTGAGTGAGATTTCTGAGGACGCCCCATCGGGGACTGTTGTAGCCCTACTGCACGTACAGGACCAGGACTCGGGCGCCAACGGCGAGGTGCGCTGCTCCCTCGACGGGGGCGTTCCGTTCCGGCTGGAAAGTGCACAGGGCAGCTACTACCGCGTGGTGACGGCGAGAGAGCTGGACCGGGAGCAGGAGTCGGAGTACAACGTGACGGTGCGGGCGGCCGACGGCGGTCGTCCGTCGCTGCAGAGCAGCAGGGTGCTGTGTGTGCGGGTGCTGGACGTGAACGACA